GCGTTGCCTTTCTAAGTTTTCTTGTAGCTTGCTGAATTTCTTCATAAAAGCTGTTTTAAAATCTTTATCAGTTAGATTGCAATATTCTTTGGGCTCCTTTGCTGGAAAATTGTCAGGTTGTTTTTGTTTTTATTTTTAATGCTGTATTACCGTGATTTTTCATGGTGTGTGATAAAAGTGTCTCTGCCATCGCATTTGAAGTAATGAAAACCTTTCTTAACTTAGGCAAGGTTTTGTTCACTTTGATTCTGATAGTTCAACCTTTAATTAATTAGGAGCCTTTCTTTTGTTTTCCAGAAGGTGGCACTATAGCACATGTTTTTGATTTCTCTGGGCAGAGTGCCCTTTAAAAAGGGGGCGGTGGTGGCCAACTCAGGGGAGGTGTGTACTTAGCATTTGTGGCTTTGGGTGAGCCTGGAAGTCCGTGGGCCGAATCCCTGGGCAGGTAGGAGGAGGCACTTTCCTGCGGTCCTTCCAGCTGTAGAAGCTGCAGAATGGGTGGCCGACCCTCACTCGACACCTTCACCCTCCACCTCCTGCCAGAAGGGTGTTGCTGACCTGCTGTTTCCATGACCGCTCCCCTCCTTCGTTGCCCTCCCTGCTCCCATCCACCCTTGGTGACTTGGATGCTGTGCACAGGTGCTTTTGTTTGTTTGTTTGGTTTTTGGTTATAGATGTCCAATTACTTATAAATCAAAAGGGAGAGGAAAAAGGAACGGCTCACCTTGTGATGGTGACATCACTCTCAGAAGTTTCCTTTCATTCTTTGAGTAGACCCTACTTGTTGATTTTTTTTTTTTAATCTGAAATCCCCTTTATCCATTCCACTCATCTCCCCACCAACTTCCCCTCTGGCAACCACCAGTTCTCTGTATTTAAGAGTCTGGTAAATGTCTCTTTTTCTTTCTCCATTTGTTTTGTTTCTTAAATTCTGCATATGGTATTTGCCTTTCTCCGACTGACTTATTTCACTTATCATTATACCCTCTAGATCCATCCATGCTGTTGTAAATGGCACAGTCTTACTCCTTTGTTATGGCTGAGTAATATTCCAGTGTGTGTGTGTGTGTGTGTGTGTGTGTGTGTCGTGCACGCACGCTTCCATAATTTTGTTATTGTAAATAAATGGTGCAGTAAACAGGGGTGCATATATCTTTTCAAATTAGTGATTTCATTTTCTTTGGGTAAATACTCAGTAGCAGGATTACTACATCTTAGGATAGTTCTATTTTTTGTTTTTTTGAGGAACCTCCATACTATTTTCCACAGTGGCTGCACCAATTTGCATTCCCACCAACTGCACGAGGGTTCTTCTTTTCTCCACATCCTTGCCAACACTTGTTATTTCTAGTCTTTTTGATTTTAGCCATTCTGGGAGGTGTGAAGTGATATCTCATTGTGGTTTTGACTTATATTACCCTGATGATCAGTGATGTAGAGCATCTTTTCATGTATCTGTTGGCCATCTGTGTATCATTGGAAAAGTGTCTATTCATGTCTTTTTTAATTGGATTATTAGTGGTTTTGATGTTGTGTCCAGGATTTTTTATTTTAGTATACAGTTATATTGAATTAGCTAATATTTTATATAGGATTTTTTTTTAAGATTTTTATTTATTTTTTGACAGAGAGACAGCGAGAGAGGGAACACAAGCAAGGGGAGTGGGAGAGGGAGAAGCAGGCTTCCCGTGGAGCAAGGAGCCCAGTGCAGGGCTCAATCCCAGGACCCTGGGATCGTGACCTGAGCCAAAGGCGGACACCCAATGACTGAGCCACCCAGACGCCCCTTTATATAGGATTTTTATGTCTGTAGTTGACCCTTCAACTGCACAGCTCCACTTATATGCAAATTTTTTTCGATAAACACAGTACAGTACCTAAATGTATTTTCTCTCTCTCATGATTTTCTTAATAATATTTTCTTTTCTCTAGTTTACTTTATTGTAGGAATACAATATGTAATACATATACAAAATATGTGTTAATTGACTGTTATCAATAAGGCTTTGGTCAGCAGTAGGCTATTAGTAGTTAAGTTATGGGGGAGTCAAAAGTTAAATGTGGATTTTCAAGTGCAGAGGGGGCGGCACCCCTACCCCCATCTTGTTCAAGGGTCCACTGTATATTCATAAGTGAATTAGACCTGTTTGTTTTTTAGCCTTACCTGGTTTTAGAACAAAGATTATATGAGCCTCATAAAATGAACTGAGCAGCTTCTGGAAATAGTTTATGTTAAATAGCAATTAATTATTTCTTAAGCTTCTAATAAATCTCAACTGTAAAATTATTTAGGCCCAGGTTTTAAGGTCCGAAGTGGCTTGATAACCATTTCAATTTCATGGTCTCTTCTGCCAATTTCAGCTTTCTTTTTTTCTTTTAATTCACTTCATTTAAGTTTTTAAGTATATTGACATATGGTTGTTCCTAATAAACTTTTATTGTTTTTAGTCTGTTACTTGCTATTTTTTATTAGTAGACATTTACTGTATTTTGTGCTGTTATTTTTCTTCTCTTTTCAGAAAACCATCTTTTAGCTTTCTTAATATTTATTGATTTTCTTTCTGTTTTACTGATTTCTGTCCTTATCTTTCTGCCCTTCTGGTTTCTTTGGGTTTGCTGTATATCCTTTTGCCAATGTCAGTTAATTGCTTACACTCAGCTTACTCGTTTTTAAATTTTCCCGTTCCCACATCAATGTGTTTAAAGCTACATGTTTCCCTCTAAGCAGTCTTGCTTTAGTGTCTCCCACAATATTTGGCCTGTAGCTAAAAGTATTTCTTGGGGGTGCCTGGGTGGCTCAGTCGTTAAGCGTCTGCCTTCGGCTCAGGTCATGATCCCAGGGTCCTGGGATCGAGCCCCGCATCGGGCTCCCTGCTCCGCAGGAAGCCCTGCTTCTCCTTCTCCCACTCCCCCTGCTTGTGTTCCCTCTCTCGCGCGCTCTCTCTGTCAAATAAATAAATAAAATCTTTAAAAAACAAAAAAAAAGTATTTCTTGGGGTGCCTGGCTGGCTCAGTCGGAGGGGCATGCAACCTCGGGGTTGTGAATTCGGGCCCCACATTGGGTATAGAGATTATTTAAATAAATAAATCTTTTTTAAAAGAAGGATTTGATTTCCTAATGCCTTTGATGACTTCCTGTTTGACCCAAGGGTTAGTAATGTTGTTTAATTTTCAAATATATGGGATTGATTTTTACCCTTTTTTTTTTTTTTAATTTCTGACTTTATTGACTTAAAGGACAAAATTTGTATGATGATAAGTCTTCGGAATTTGAGGCACTTTCAAGATCTCCTTCAGTCTTCCCAAGAATGTCTCACCAGGATAGTCTCTCCACCTATTTGCTTACTTTTTGTTTTTTGGGTTTTGTTTACTTCCTGGAACCCATACTTCACTCCAAGTTTCTCCAGGGTTGATTGGGGTTGGGGAGGGGACGCAGACTCCATGCTAGTTCATTACCTAGTCGGGAGCTGGTTTGTGAAATTGCTATGATCTGGATTATAATTTTTTAAAGTATCTATCTGTATATTGATACTTGACTTCTCCAAAATATTTTAACAGCAAGAGCATATGTAAAACATTTGAGTATCAGAAAAATTCCATTAATAAGCAGTAAGTACAACTCACAAATGAAAGAGCAAGATGCTTTTTCATCCTCCAGGTGCTGTTACTTTTGTTAACAACTGCTTTTCTAGACTTTTTCTTGTCAAATTTTTTTTTTTAATATTTTATTTATTTATTTGACAGAGAGAGACACAGCGAGAGCAGGAACACAAGCAGGGGAAGTGGGAGAGGGAGAAGCAGGCCTCCCACTGAGCAAGGAGCCCGATATGGGGCTCGATCCCAGGACACCGGGATCATGACCCAAGCTGAAGGCAGATGCCTAACGACTGAGCCACCCAGGCACCCCTTTTTCTTGTCAATTCTTGATCTAGAACAGGGCAAACTTTTTCTGTCAAAGCCCAGATAGTAAATATATTATGCTTCATGAACCAGGTGGTCTGTTTGTAACTGCTCCGCTTTGGTGTTATAGCTCAAAAGCAGCCATAGGTAATACAGAAACAAGTGGACGGCTGTGTTTAAATGAAACTTTATTTACAAAAGCAGGTGGCAGGCTGGATTTGGTTCATGGGTAATAATTTGTTGACCCCTGACTAGAAGTTTTGTTATTTATAATTTCATCATTGATCTACTAGTAGTCTAGAAAATTTCTCTCAAGAGATACTCAGTCTCTAGACAGGGAAGGTGGTGAAGAGGCTTAGGGCCAAGGCCACTGGTATGCTGATTCTCAGGGCAGGAGTAGTCTAGACTTTGAGGAAGAAGGATGAGGCAGGTAGGGCAATCCCCTGTGCCCTAGAGCCTCTCAAATCCAAGAGTGCCGGCAGCCATATTTCCATGAGTTGATTGTGTTTCTTTTGTTTTGGCAGAGTGAACTTTGTGGAAAATAAGCTTTCTCTGTAGTAGTCACATCTCTGCTCAGGGTTGGACTCACATACCATGTTAAAAAATGAGAATAAGAGTCTCTATGCCCTTTGAACAATAAGAGTAAACATCTTTGGGTTTGAAGAGGGAAGGATTGGGCAGACCAGGAGGAAGACTAATCCTCTCTCATCACAAGCTTTTAGTTCCAGAAAAGGGAAAAGGAGAAAGCCATCGACTGCATGGCATCAGAGGGTTAGCTTCCTCTTCTGAGTCTCTTCTCAATGCCTAGCAGTAGAAACCAAGCTTGTGTTCATCACCTGCCGTTGGCATACCCTGTTATACTATCATTGGGTATTTCATCTCTGAAGTATCTAGCTTTTTACAGATTTGAAGACCATTTCTCAAATCACTGGAGTGTGTATTTTCAGTAGCATTAGAGCATAGCCTGTAATATGAGTGTTACCTTGATCATCTTCTGTTTGAATGGCGGATACTCTTCCTGCGAGTGCAGTGAACCCAGTTGTCTTAATGTGTGTCACCCATACCTCACCACTGAGTAAAGCCCCTCTTTTCTGTTTCAGTAACTGTGGCCTCTTCAAATGGGAACGAGATGGAATGCTAAAGGTAGGTCATTTGCAAAGTGACCAATTTAGTGATCCATGCAAATAATGTTGACCCATCTCTCACTAAACTATTTTCATTTTTCTAGGAAAAAACAGGCCCAAAGATAGGAGGAGAAACCCTGTTACCACGAGGAGAAGAACATGCCAAATTTCTGAATAGCCTTAAATAGCCCTGACTTCAAACAGGTACCCACGACCTACATTGCTTCTTATGGCTCTGGAAAAGCAAAGGTGTTGCTCTGTTTGCTCATGTTCCTGATTGATAAAGTCCAAACAGACACTTATTAAGCCTACACATTTTACCTACTTATTTTCTGTTGTGTTGGTTTGATCCCAAATTTAACACTGACCTTTAAGTGGTAAATCAAAATACCATCGTCCTCCGTGTTCTTGCTACTGATGGCTGCATTCATGTGGATTTTTTGCTCAGAAACGGGAAGGTAAATTGAGAGCTGTGTTTCTGTATGTTTTGGGTAATAGAGTGTGCAGTGTTGCTTCTTGATCAGAGTAAAGTTCTGGTATTTATATGGGCACACAGAGGCAAAAGAATTAATTTAGCTCACCCTGGGTAGATTGCATAACTTCTGGGCTTCAGTTTTCTTACCTAGAAAATGAGGAGGCTAGGAGTAAATGATGTTGAAGTGTATCTTTCAGCACTCAAATTCTACAAATAATACAACTTCTCCCATATAAATAATTACGCTCATCAACCTTGACACAATCTTGATATATTGACATCAAAGCCAGTGTCCTTCTTTCATTTCTATTCTTATCTCTCTTTTGTTTTGCAAATTGATTAATGCACTGACTCACGTGGCATTTAATTCATATCTGTATGGTTTCTGTGTCCTTAAAATATTGTGGAGCTCTTTAATAAAAACACTAAAATCTCATCATTTTAAAATATGGCTTTGTTTAAATATGGCTTAAAGAAACTTCGAAATCTTTAAAACAAATACAGAGTTTAAGAAGCTATGAACAATGATTGAAAAACAGAAACATCTCAGAAAGACAGAACTCAGGGAGTTTGAGATTTGCAGATATACTCTGTCACACAGGGTTTGACAGAGGTCAAACCCTGTGCAAATTAGCACCCCAAAATTGCAGTTTAGGAGATTCCTCTGTCAGGCAACCTGATTTTCCAAAGTGAATGCTGATATCATCCTAAGATTGAATAAATTAGTAGGATTATTATTACATTGGGATTTAAACTCTAGCTAGAAATAGATCAGGTTTCCCCCAAGATGATATTATGGTAGATAGACATAATGCTTACAGGAGCTGGTTGTGGGAGATGTTTGATATAGATTTTCAAGAGCTAGAAAAAACATGTACATGCCTTATATTTCATCAAGCTCTGTCTGCTCAATATGAGTGTTCCTCCTAAGGTTATATTGCAGAAGCTATATTTTTAGGAGGATTTCACTTCCCAGGAGGTGGTTGTTTTAATTTTTAACTAATGAAGAAAAGAATAAAGTGTTTAATTCTTAATAGGGACTGAAGGCATTCAGCGGTGGTATTTTTAATGGTTCATTTAGAGTAGATTTGTTTATCCCATAAACTTAAAATAGAGCTATGTATTTGAAGAAAATCACAACTAAGCGGCTGCCAAGGACTCAAGCTCCAGGCTGCTCCTCAGGCAATCCCCTTTCCATGAAACACATTCCTGTTTGAACCAAGGGTGCCATTAGAGTCCCCATTCACTTGTGTATCATATATAAGTATTGTAAGGTACTGTAATAATTTAAAAATCATTGAATTACTTCTCAGTTACTCTAGATCTCTGGGGGCTTTTGTTTGAGGTCTTTTTTATGTATGCTTTCATAGATCAGTGATGAGAAGCGGTAGGTGGGCCAGAAGGGGGACTTGTTTGCATTGAAATTACGATTCATCAGTGAGATCAGTCTTTTAATACTATTCTCTTTATCAGTGTATTAAATGCTTTTATATAAATCCAAAATGTGTGTTTAATTTTTCCTTACCCTGTCATTAGCAATGTAGGACTTATTGTGTAATCATGTAATCATAGGCCATCCAAACAAGGTAGGTACACAGTGATCTAAATTAGCACACAGAAGTTTTGTATTTCAGGGGGAGGTAGTTGATCTGACTGTTCTGATTGTCTCAACAGATTTTGTTTTTGCTGTGTCTTTTTTTTTTAATTTTTTTTTTAAGAGAGCGCGCACGAGCGGGGGGGGAGGTGCAGAGGGAGGGGGAAGAATCTAAACCAGACCCCCCCCCACTGAACACCGAGCCTGATGCAGGTCTCGATCTCATGACCCTGAGATCATGACCTCAACCGAAAGCAAGAGTCAGATGCTTAACCCACTGAGCCACGCAGGTGCCCCTGCCTTTTTTTATTAAGAGGAAACAAGTGGCTTTTGTTTTTTGTTTCTTTTTTAATCACCTTTCTCTTGAGTTTTGTTTAAATATATTTTCTCTTCCAAACAAGAGAAGGAAGACTGAAGTAATTTAGATAACAGTGATGCAGAGTAGCAAATAAGGAGCTTTGGAGTGATTGGTATGGAATGTTCCTCAGAGGCAACTTAGAAAGCTTAAAAATTTTAAAGTTTTCAACTTTTAAAAACATTACAAGTTGACCCATCCATAGCAAAGTTGACAGGAAGAGATTTCATGAATTGGGTTGTGTAAAAGTTGATGAGGACACAAGTGAAGCTTGATGTTTATAGTAGATTAAATGTGTCTGAGAACATGGATTTTTATTTTTTTTTAATTATTTTTTTTATTTGATTTTTTAAAAAGATTTTATTTATTTATTTATTTGATAGAGAGAATGAGAGAGAGAGAGAGCATGAGATGGGGAGGGTCAGAGGGAGAAGCAGACCCCCAATCGAGCAGGGAGCCCAATGCGGGACTTGATCCTGGGACTCCAGGATCATGACCTGAGCCGAAGGCAGTCACCCAACCAACTGAGCCACCCAGGCGCCCCATGAGAACATGGATTTTTAAAAGTCAGGAGAGTAAATCTGTTTGCCTCAGTATGTCACTCATAGCAGCCCATCAGTGCTCTACTTGACAAGTAAAATAGATATCTCTGATCCCATGGGTAGAGATTTGGAAACAATATAGCTCTCAAGGATGGATGGCTCAAAAAATGAAATTCTATATTCACCAATATTGAGGAAAGAAATGGTGATATATCTAAGAAAATAATAGGCACAAAATAGAAGAAACCAGTTGACTTAATAGCAGTTTGTGGAAAAGCTGTGAAGTTTTTGAAAATTAAAATAAGCCAAGGGGTGCCTGGGTGGCTCAGTTGGTTAAGACACTGGCTCTTGATTTCAGCTCAAGTCATGATCTCAGGGTCCAGGAAATTGACTAAGGGATTTGAAAATGTGAGTTGAAACTCAGATTGGAACAAAGGCTGTGGTAATTTTGCTTGAGCAAAGACTTCTCTGTTGGTATTTTTCTTTCCGGTTTTAGTATATATGCTGCCAAAGTGAGCAAATACTGGTCTCTTTCTTAATCAACTTTATTAAGGCCTAAATTTCACACAGTAAAAGGCACATATTTTATGATGTGTGATACAATAAATTTTGATGAACACAGATATCCACATAAGCACCACCACAAACAAGATGTAGGACATTTCCATCCTGTCATTGGCTTGTGCGATTTCCCTGTCGTCTCCGACCCATCACAGATCCGTTTTCTCTCCCTGTAATTTCCGCCTGTCTTTTGAGTCTCACTTAAATAGAATCATGCAGAATACACTTTTGTGTCTGGCTTCCTTCATTCACCATATTTCGAAATGCATCTGTGTTGTGGCATATATCAGTAGTTCATTGTTTTTTATTGTTGAGTATTTTGCTGGATGGATATGCCCCACAATTTAGTTATTCACCTGTTGATGGACATCTGAGTTGGATTATTTCCAGTGTGGGGCTGTTATGAATAAAGCCTCTACCAATATTCAGGTAGATGTCTTTCTGTGGATATGTGTTTTTTTTCCTCAGGTAAATATCTAGGAATGGGATTTCCAGGTCAAATGGTAAGTGTAGGTTTAGTTTTTAAGAAATTGCTAAACTAGGGGTGCCTGGATGTCTCAGTTGGTTGAGTCCTGGGATCGAGCCCTGTGTTGGGCTCCCTGCTCATCAGGGAGTCAGTTTCTCCCTTTCCATCTGCCTCTTCCTCCCACCCCTCACTCATGCTCTCTTTCTCAAATGAATAAATAAAATCTTTAAAAAAAAAAAAAAAAAGAAACTGCCAAAATATTTTCTAAAGGGGTTTACCCTGGGACGCCTCAGTGGCTTAGTCAGTTACGTGTCCCACTCTTGATTTCGGCTCAGGTCATGATCTCAGGGTTGAGAGATCAAGCCCCGTGTGGGGCTCCATGCTCAGTGGGGAATCTGCTTGGGATTCTCGCTCCCTCTGCCCCTCCCCCGGCTCATGCACATGCACTCTCTCTAAAAATAAATAAACCTTCAAAAAAAATAAAGGGGAATGTACCATTTTACACACCCACTAATAATGTGTGAGAATTCCATTTGCTCCACATTCTCACCAGTATTTGATACCATCGGTCTTTTTAAGTTTTAATCATTTTAATAGGTGTGTGGTGGTATCTCATTGCAGTTTGAATTTGCATTTTTCTCATGACCGTTGATATTGGGCATCTTTTCATGTCCTGTTGGCATTCCTGTATCTTCTTTGGTGAAATACCTGTTTACTGATTGATCGAGTTGAGTAAGAATTCTTCCATGTATTCTTATGTGGAATTTAAGAAACAAAACAGATTAACATAGAGGAAGGGAAGGAAAAATAAAATAAGATGAAAATTGAGAGGGAGGCAAACCATGAGATGCTGAACTCTAGGAAACTGAGGGTTGCTGGAGGGGAGGTGGGTAGGGGGATGGAGTAATTGGGTGATGGGCATTAAGGAGGGCAGTTGATGGAACTGAGCACTGGGTGTTGTATGCAACTGATGAATCACTGAATTCTACCTCTGATACTAATAAAAAATAAGTAAATTTTTTTAAGAAGAGATCTTCCTATATTCTGTATACAAGTGTTTTGCAGATATATGTGTGATGAATATATACTCCCAGTGTGAGACTTGCCTTTTCATTTTTTCTTAACTGTCTCAAAGAGCAGGTTTCTACTTTCTTATAGTGCATTTTATCAGTTGATTCACTTTTGGCTCATGCATTTTGTCTAAGAAATTTTTACCTGCCTTAAAAGTCAAAAAGATGTTCTTATAGAATATTTTATATGGTTCTAGCTTTCACTCTTTCATCTGTGGTCCATTTCAAGTTAATGTTATATAAGCCATGAGGTGTAAGGGTTGAGGTTCAGTGTTCTCCAAATGGACACTCACAGCATCACTCAGTGAAAAGATGAGCACTTCCCCCATTAGATTAGTTTGCCTTCTTTGTCGAAAATCAGTTGATCATGTATTTTGGGGTCTACTTCTGGACTCGGTTTTGTTATAGTAATGACATATTCATACGGTATTATGTCAATCCTTATGCCAGTACCATGCTGTCTTAATAATTATAGATATAACAAGTGTGGGACTCAGCTAGTGTTAGTCCCCCACCTTTGTTCTTTGTAAAATTTGTTTTGGCCGTTCTAGGTCCTTTGCATTTCAGTGTAAATTTTAGAAGCAGCATGTTGATTTCTACCGGGGGGAAAAAAAAACCCTACTGGAATTTTGATTAAGATTGTGTTTAAGGACCATCTGGGTGGCTCAGTCAGTTAAGCGTCTGACTCTTGGTTTCACCTCAGGTCAAGATCTCAGGGTCATGAGATTGAGCCCTGTGTCAGGCTCCACGCTCAGCATGGAGTCTGCTTGAGATTCTCTCCGCATGCGCACACACTCTTTTTCTCCCTCAAATAAATAAATAAAATATTAAATAAAAAAAGACTGTGTTTAATCTTTGGATCAATTTGGGGGGATTGACATCTTAAGACTTTCTATCTGTGAATATAATACATCTCTCCATTTATTCAGGTCTTTAATTTTTCTCAGCAACATTTAGTAGTATTTGTGCCTGTCTCAGCATATGACTAGCCAGTGTTGTGGTTGTTCTGGCCCTTGTGATTCCAATTAAGATTGCAAGATGCCTCCAACAATAACCATCAGCAAACTTTGAAAAAATAAATGTTTATTAATTATAGGGCCTGGAAATAACATAGCACACCAAATACCAAGGTCTTGGGCCAAACAGCAAGGTCTCGGGTAGGAGTGCACATGGGCCTGGGGCTCTGCTTTCATTGGGGTTAAGGGTGGGGGCCTAGTATTTCTTGGGCTCACGCTTTATGGGTGAATTTAAAACATAAGAGTGGGATTTTAAAGTCCTTGAAAAGGAAAACAAGTGGTCAGTTATAGAAATCAACTGAAATCTCAAAAGACTGTCAGGAGGAGGAGGGGGCCTGGCTCTTTAATCTAGTGATGTAGCTGGCAATGTGTATGTCCGAGAGGTGTAGAGATTGTATGTATATTTTGTTATGTTTATTTCTAAATGTCTTACAGTTTTGATGATATTGTAAAGGGTACTTTTTGCATTGCAATTCCCAATTATTACTTGCTCGTATATAGAAATAAAATACATTTTTGTCATTTGACCTTGTATCCTGGGACCATGTTAAGCTTACATATTAGTTTAGCAGCTTTTTTATAGATTTCTTAGGATTTTCTACATGTTGGATCATGTTGCCTGGGAGTTTTTAACACTGCAGTTCTTGTCTATGACTGATGTTGTTCCCGTTCTAAAGAGGAAAGCATTTTCTTTCACCATTAATTATCAAGAAAATATTCTAAGTAAGGTTGAACAAGAGGATCTATAAATAATAGTGTGAGTTTTATTGGTCTTCTCATACATTCCCTAGTGATGGTATCAGTTGAGCACCAGTGGGCTTGACCTTGAGAGGGGGAAGTCATGTCAAGTCCTGTGTTGAGTACATTTTCAGGTTTTGCTGAATTTTATCTTCATGTAATCATCAATCTTGCCAAAACAACAATGGTGTCTATGTCATTCGGGCACTTAGGGTTAAAGGTACAGGAAGAGTATCCTCAGTGATTTAATAAAGGAATAAACTGGTGTTTTTTGTTTTTTGTTTTTGTGGGTTTTTTTGAACAGTGGTTTCAGGATACCAATCTAAGAGTATTTTAGGGTTTTCATCTTACAAAATATAAAATGTCCTGCCCCTCGGTACCACAGTTCTGTGCTGGGTGTGTAATAAACAACCAAACATGAGCTAATAAAATCATAAGCTAGTGCATGCTGACCTCACTGCCTCATATTAATGAGGCGACCGTTTTTATTTAGGAAAGTTTTTACATTTGGGGGCCTCTTCCCTAAATGACTCACATTCACCAGTGTGTCATTTGAGATTCATTATTACTGCTCTAAATTAATGAGAAATTATATGGAAAACAATTTTTCCCCTTTGTGTTACATATTAAGTGAATATTCTTTTCAGGCATGTTTCATCAAACATCATCATTCCCATAGGAAGCCTTTTTTTTTTTTTTTTAAGATTTTATTTATTTATTTGACAGATACGACGAGAGGGAACACAAGCAGGGGGAGCACGAGAGGGAGAAGCAGGCTTCCTGCGGAGCAGGGAGCCTGATGCAGGGCTCAATCCCAGGACCCCGGGATCATGACCTGAGCCGAAGGCAGACGCTTAACAACTAAGCCACCCAGGCACCCAGGAAGCTTTCTTTTTATGAAGCTTTCTCTTCAAAGAAGCTTTATGAAAGCTTCTCAACTCTAACTATGCAGATTGTTTTTAATAGTAGAAAATTGCCTTAATGAATAAAGTGAGCATCATTGGTCAAAAATGAATTTTAAAATAAAACATAAACATGGAAGAAAATAAAATATAAAAATGAAAAAAGTATAGCTAGATACTTAAATGTGCCCAAATCACTTGAAGGATACTCAAGACTTGGGCATAATGGTTTTCTTTGGGAGACAGAAGGACGCTATATTTTTTTCTGCCCTTTAAAATTTTTTAAATGTATGTATATATTACCTAATCAAAGTATTCTTGATTTAAAAAATCAAAATAATGTGTAATCTCTCTCTGTGATCTCTCGCTATTTCTCATGAATAAATAAATATATTTTTTAAAGTGTTAATACATTGTAAGATCACAGGGTATACCAAAGTTACCAGTTAGGAACTAGAATATCCATATGTTTTTTTAAGATTTTATTTATTTGTCAGAGAGCACAAGCAGGGGGAACAGCCGGCAGAGAGAAAAGCAGTCTCCCCCACTGAGCAGGGAGCCCGAAGCAGGACTCAATCCCAGGACCCTGGGATCCTGACCCCAGCCAAAGGCAGACGCTTAACTGAACCACCTAGGCATCCCTAGAATATCCGTATTTTTAACCAATTTGCTTTTGGACAAATCCCTTAAGAACTTTTAAATTATGAAAAATTTGTCCAAAAATTGGAACATAATTGGTTGGAAATGAAATTAGAAATGAGCTACCCAACCAAATTAAACTGATAAAAAGCATGTACCATGTTTTTAAAATTTTTTTTTTTTAAAGATTTTATTTATTTGAGAGAGAGAGAGAGCGAGAGCAGGAGCACAAGCGAGGGAGTGGGAGAGGGAGAAGCAGGCTTCCCGCTGAGCAGGGAGCCCGATGTGGGACTCGATCCCAGGACCCTGGGATCATGACCTGAGCCGAAGGCAGACGCTTAACGACTGAGCCACCCAGGCGCCCCCCATGTTTTTTAAATTTTAAAAAATCATTCTGAGGCTCACAAAAATGACCACTTCCTCCCCCCCAAAAATCCTAAGTAAACAGATACATGATAATAATTTGTAAAATCTCCCCTGGAGTGCATGCACACATTCCCACCCCGATCCCCGGTCCCGAAAACAAAAAGAAGCAGGAAAAAGAAAATGACAACATAAAAAACCAATGAATTAAAAATAACGAGTTTTTGGGGCGCCTGGCTGGCTAAATAGGTTAAGTGGCCGACTCTTCATTTCTCTTCAGGTCATGATCTCGGAGACTTGGGATGGAGCCCTGCCTCAGGCTCTGAGTTGGTCATGGAACCTACTTAGGATACTTCCTCTCCCTCTGCCCCTATCCCCACCCTGTTCGCTCTTGCTTTCTCTTAAAATAAAAAATTTTAGGGGCGCCTGGGTGGCTCAGTTGGTTAAGCGACTGCCTTCGGCTCAGGTCGCGATCATGGAGTTCCAGGATCGAGTCTCACATCGGGCTCCCTGCTCGGCAGGGAATCTGCTTCTCCCTCTGACCCTCCCCCCTCTCATGTGCTCTCTCTCATTCTCTCTCTCTCTCAAATTAAAAAAAAAAAATTTTTTTTAAATAATGTTTTCAGGGCACCAGCCTGGCTCAGTCAGTGGAGCATGTAACTCTTGGTCTTGTGGTTGTGAGTTTGAGCCCCATGTTGGGTATAAAGATAACTTAAAAATAAATAAATAAAAATAATGTATTTTCACCAATTCATCCTTTGACAAATTTGTTGCTGGAATCCCTAAAGGACTAGGAGAGAGTAATGAAAGAACCGAGAAGAGTCCAAAAGTCCACACTTTTGACAAGGCCAGTCTCTAAAAATACAGATTGCTCCATTCCTAGTAAATGTGGCTGCCCAGATTCCCACTCGTGTTACCCTTGGCGTGTTTCTCCCTGCCCAGATAAAATGACTGTGAATGGTTTTCAGTGAAGGAATTCTGGGCGGAATTTGAAAATGCTGAGGTATAATGGGACCCTTGTTAAGGATGGAGATAAAAGGAGGTAATAGATTTCTTTTTTTCTGCCAGAGCTCTTTATCTGGAGCCAGCATGCCAAGTGCATAGTCATTGAAGAGGCAAGGACAGGCTGTTTTATTGTGGGTTTTTTGTGTTTTTTTTTTTTAAGATTTTATTTTATTTATTTGACAGAGAGAGAGAGAGACAGCTAGAGAGGGAACACAAGCAGGGGGAGTGGGAGAGGGAGAAGCAGGCTCCCAGCCGAGCAGAGAGCCTGATGCGGGGCTTGATTCCAGGACCCTGGGATCATGACCTGAGCTGAAGGCAGACGCTTAACGACTGAGCCACCCAGGTGCCCCCCAGGCTGTTTTATTGTTTTAAAGTGGCTACTCAGTCACACCATTCTTGATTCTTGACATCTGTCTCGCCTCAGCATCCCTTCCTGCAGGTGTGGGTGGCTGTGGGTTTGAATCCATCAGCTGCCCTCTACCTGGTTGCTGGCCCTCTTACCAGAAGGCATTTGGGTGTGTTATGACCAAGGTGACCCAAAATGTGGCTCCTCCATTTTTATGGCCTAAGGTGGAGAGCAGTGCTTTGCTGTTTTTCCTATTGCATAACTGGATGTGTAACCACACACATTCCCCCTTGTAAATTAGGGTTACCAACCAAAAGGCTCAGGGACTGGATCTGGCCAACCAAGAGGGCAGTTTCATGTGGGTAAAGCGCCAGCTCACCTGTCCTCCTGGGCCAGCAGCCTGCCTCGGGTTCGGAGCTAGCAGTCAGCCAAGCCTGCACTGCTGTGCCCAACTAAAAACCGCAGCTGGTTGGCTCGCCATGTCTTCTCTCACTTACAACTCAGCTAAGGACAGGAATGTAATGCTCCTACGCACCTCTCAGCGAGAATTCCTCATCTAGGTGTGGGATGAGGTGCTGTGAGGAGCCCCACCCACAAGAGCAAGACTGAGGCAGGGGTGTGTCTGGCCAGTTCGCTAAGGCTCCCTGTTCTGCCCCTTTCAGGGGTGCAGTAGGAAGCGGATGGGGCCCATGCATGCGTCTCCTGCCCAGTAATCCAGAGAGGAACACCTCTGACCTTCGTTCTGCTCAAGCTGACTGATTTCTCCAGTTAAGATCAGAGATAGGAGATGGCAGGCAAATAGCAGAACTCCATTCCTTTCTGTTGAGATTTATGCTTTAAAACTTTGAAATATTCATTCTCAAATAATTTGTCTCATCATAAAAAGTAAAAACAGTAATGAAATTTTGAGGCATCTGTAAAGGTTTTCCTTGATGCTAGTTTCTTCCAGTGTGATCACGTTCTCCTTTAAAGCTGCTGGTCCAGGCGCCTGGGTGGCTCAGTCAGTTAAGCGTCTGCCTTCGGCTCGGGTCGTGGTCCCAGGGTCCTGGGATCGAGCCCACATCGGGCTCCCTGCTCTGTGGGAAGCCTGCTTCTCCCTCTCCTCCCCACTTGTGCTCTCTCACTATCTCTGTCTCTCTCAAATAAATAAAATCTAAAAAAAAAATTTAAAGCTGCTGGTCCTTTCATTGAAGGCTGCGGAGAAGAGCAGATTTCCTAAAGAGCCTTTCTGTTGAAAACAGGCCCAAAGGCTTTGTGGTAGCTGGTGGAAATGTGTGGCTCCTGCAGACGGGGTGTGATTTGGAGACTGGAGCTGAAGGTGACATTTTCTGTCTGAGGAAACACCATGGACAGTATATCCTGAAAGAGTTCCCCCTTCCCGACCTTTCAGCCAATATTCTGTTTGCTTGGTTTAAGAAAGGATTGGCAAAGGTGTCCAGTAACAGAAAGCACATACAACCTCTTCAAAGAGAAATCTGATTTATCCAGTTTCACATGTAAGTTATGACCCCATCATTTCATTTCCAGAAACCTGTGTTACTAATAGAGGAATGGGTAAGTAAAGTCTAGCATATTCACTGACATGCAGAGGGAGCAAAGACACACACAAACCACCCCCCCACTGGAGCCATGT